GCGGGGCTCACTGCTCTCCGGCCAGGCCCGCCCCCGGGCGGAGCAGCAGGGTCATGCTGGCCGCCTGCGGCTGCATGGCCTGGGCACTCTGTCCGTCCGCAGGACCCGAGCGGGGCGGGTGGCTGGGTCTCGCCCCGCGCTGCAGCAGCACTCACCGGGCCCGGGGCCATGGGGACACTCCCCGCCACTGAGATCAGGGAAGGGGCAGCCCTGGCTCGGCGTCTGGCCACCGCCTCCGTGCTGGGCCGCAGCTCCGAGGCCTCGGGCACCCAGACGCCCCCATGGCCCTCCCCGCCCCGGGACGCCTCCGGCCGGCCCATGGCCAGCACACACGTGAGTCTGACCTTGTCTTGGCATCTTGGGAGAAGAAAACACCACCGCACCCTCTGCCAGCCCTTCCCGCCCTGGACGAGGCTGGTCCGGCCGGTGGAGCCTGACCGTCCAGCGTGTGACAGCCACACAGCACTGGCCGCGGCCTGCACTGCCCAGGTGTCTGCTCAGGGCCCAGTCCACTGGTCAGAGCCCCCGGCCCCCTGGCCTGGACTCCACACGGCTGTGCCCTCATCCACACGTGTTTATTGTAAGTGCTGTCCGCTGGGTCAGGACCTGGCCTGTTCCAGGGCCCCGGTGAGGGCCACCAGGCTGCGTGAGGCTGGTGCCCTGGGCGGCAGCTCTGCAGCAGGCGGGCACACAGGCAAGTCGGTGGGCGCTGGCCTTCTGCCCTGGCCAGGAGAGGGCCGCTGGAGGCCCCGGCCATCTTCTCCACATGCTGCCGCCGCCACACGTGAGCTTGCGGTCGGGGCACAGGCCAGGGGTGCAGAGCCACACCCACACCTGGACCCGGCCTCGACCTGGGGGAGGCCCCGTCCGTAGCAGGCCTGGGCCAGCCTGGGCGGGGGGGCGGATGCCCAAGAGCAGAGGCCAGCACCTTGGAGCCCCGGCCCTGGCGGGGGCAGCGAGGAAGAGGGACGGGATGCGGGTGCAGGCACTGGCAGCAGGGAGCTGGGGCTGGCTCTGGGGGTGCCGGCCATGCTCCCCCAGGTGTGGGCTCGGGAGGCAGACAGTGGGGGCTGGAGACGCTGGCCCGACCAGATGGACCTGCAGAGCAGTGCGTGGGCCCCCACACAGGGCGCCAGCCGGCCTGGGGTGGACACTGGCGCCCGCACCAGGCCGATGGTGCCTCTCCAGCCGGTCTGCTCAGAGCGGGCCGGGCCCGGACCAGCCACCGTGTAGGGAAGCGCCTGCCTCAGGCCTCCGGCACCCACGGATGGCCCGGCCCGGGGCTCGGAGTCAGGCTGGGGGAGGCGGGCTCAGCTGGGCCCGGGGCAGCCCCAGCGGCTGGCCAGGCTCCTGCGCTGGAAGGGGCTG